ACTGCAGCGCTTATTCACGCCTCTAATGTGAGGCGCCCTAATTGACTGGGATTTTCGAAATCTATATTTGAATAAAAACTCCTTTGTAAATTTGCACAGAGTTACAAAAACTAAAAAAATTGAATGTTCCATAAATTCAAATGGTAATGGATATTTCTAAATACCTAATCTATAAGATAAGGCGAATTAACTTCAATCTTTGTGTTAAAATTTGTCTACATACATTTGTATATCTATTATATCAATAGGTAACAGATGTTTAAATATATAGAACTCATTTTTGAAGCTTATTTTTATATGTATATTATTATTATTTATATATTGTGATATAATTTAACTATTTAGAATTTATACGGTTTTTATGCGGTATATATGTAATTAAATTCGCAATTTGCAAGGAATATTCAGTTCCTGATATATAGGAATTCGAGAACAACCAGTTACTCTAGCCTAAATTATTCATAATTTATTGAAGGTGCGTGTAGTAAAATCAGCAATATTATACCACACCAACATCGTATACACATTCTCATTTATAACTAAAATTTATTTTAGATTTTTAGAAATATTTTCTTTATTGAAATTATTAAAAATGTTCTAATAAATTTCATACTCATCAAAGTCATAACCAATATCAGTCTGATATAAATGTGTTAGTATAATAAATGCTTACAAAATAATATATTTAGTTAAAAAAACAATCTAGTGTAAATACAAACGGAAAAACACACGGTGACATATTTGTTATGCAGATAGTCACACAGTGTAGCATCATCATTAAAAAGTTGGGCTTAAAACAGATGTTCCAAAATGGGCCAGGTCTATTACACTACCTCAAAATAACAAGAAAAATCTGTAAAATTCGGATAATTCATTTAAATGTATCCTGTCGTGGTAAACAATTAGGTAATGATTATTAATTATTTTTATCGACTTTCAACATGGCGTCGCACCGATCTAGTTACTCTGTGCTTATCGTAGACAGAGAAACCTATAGACTAATGATCGGCGTGGCCTCGAGTGAGAAAGGACGATAACGAATTTTTAGGTTATACAATAATCTTTATGACTTTTAAACACATTTAGATAAAAAATTTAATTGTTCTAAGAACTGAACTGAACAAGATTCATCAATCTTAGGCTCACAAAACACTTTTTTCTCACTTAAACCAACTTGTAAACTCCTTAAATCGCTACGCTTTCAAAGTTATTTAGCAAACTGTAGAGTTTGCTAAACAAAAAAACCGGCACGGTGAAAGGGACAAACTATCACACCACTCTATCTCATTTCTATGCAAGACGTATGCATAAATCTATCGTTTTCGTGTGCGAATGCGAAAGAAGGCGTCAATTTGTCTATAGGTTTCTCTGTCTACGGTGCTTATAGACAATGACCATAAACCATAAAGCGACCATTGATCATAGAAAGAGAACTGTCAAGTATCAAAAATACGTGATATAAACATGTCAAACGTTATTATAGTGCCACCAACTTATCTGTTCAGGTGGACAAAATTGGAACTAAGGCCGCCATTTTGTAAATGACATTTCGCTGTCAGTTATTATTTATTCTGAGCTATCAGGTGAGTGTTTTTAAAAAGTGCAAATAAAATGCCTAAAGCTCTTAAAAGTGATGCGCGACAGATTATCCTAAAAGTTTTATCTTTTATGAAAGAAGAGAAACGTGTACAAGCCCCAATTATACCATTTGAAAAGCTGTATGAACGCGTTACTGCCGCGACAGGTTAGTATTGCCAGATATGGAAAATTAAAATCACCTAATAATGTACTTGTGAAACATAGTAAAAAAAAATTCTCAATTTACTGTAATTCGTCTAAATTACCTAGCTTTGTAATTTGTGGTCTGTGAAGTAGCTATAGTGACGGCATATACACGGGCTTATATTTATTTAATTTTACCTATACAATAATTATTTGTCGTTTCGTTACAGGTGTTTCTGAGCGATTTGTACATAAACTCGTAAATGAAGAGAAACACGCTGAAGAATCAAATTCTAAAATTTCTACCCCTGGCAAAAAAAGGCAAAGAAAAACCGGGAAACAAGAAGTTGATAATTTCGACATTGGTGTTATAAGAAGAAAAATTCACGAATTTTATTCAGTGAAAAAAGAAATTCCTACCATACCCAAATTACTGAGTATTTTAAAAGAAGATATTGATTTCAAAGCAGAACGTGAAACTCTTCGAAAATTGCTTCACAAAATAGGATTTCGTTATAAGAAAACAAAATCAAATAGAAAAGTGTTGTATGAACGTAACGACGTAGTTGCATGGAGAGCAACCTACCTACAAAAAATTAAAGAAAATGAGTGTGGTGAAAAAAGACCTATTATTTATTTAGACGAAACTTACATACATTCGTCTCACTCAACTGGGAAATGTTGGCAAGGTCCTGAAGAGGATGGCGATTTGGAACCTGTTTCGAAAGGTAATAGGTGGATCATAATCCATGCAGGTGGAGAAAAAGGTTTTGCGGAAAATGCACTTCTCGTATTTAAATCAAATACAAAGTATGGGGACTACCATGATGAAATGAATAGCACTAATTTCAAAAAATGGGTATATGAAAAATTACTACCTAATCTGCATGAACCTTCTCACATTGTGATGGATAATGCGCCATACCATAGTATTTGCGTAAATAGGTGTCCTAATTCAAACCACAGTAAGGCTGATATGCAGAAGTGGCTTGTAGAAAACAATGTGGATTTCAATGAACAAATGACAAAACCACAGCTTTATGAGTTAATAAAGAAAAATAAACCTGCTCCGGAATATGAAATTGATAACCTGGTGAAAAGTTATGGCCATGTTATTCTTAGATTGCCGCCTTATCATTGCGACTTGAACGCAATTGAAATGATATGGAGCTCTATGAAAAGGAACATAGCAGACAAAAATGTTGGAAAATCTAATGTTCTAATGCCCCAATTAATTGAAGATGCATTCAATAAAATTACACCGGTGCAGTGGAAAACATTTGTAATCATGTGAAAAAAATTGAAAATGCATACAGACTAAAAGACGCGTATTTAGATGAACCCTTTATTATAGAGTGTCAGAGCGATAGCGAAAGCGATTCCAGTGACTCAGAAGATGAATTATTGGAATCAGTAGCTAACGCGGGTACGTCTTTCAAAACAGAAATTCCTGGAGTTCGGCCGCTTGAACTCCGAGACCACGACCACAATTATTTTTATAAAATATAAAAAATATATATAATAACAATAAACATAACATAACATAAACACTCACGCCTGTCACCCAGAGGGGTAGGCAGAGACTACAGACTTCCATTTGGCACGATCCTGACACACCTCTCTCGCCTCCTTCACATCCATACACCTCCGCATACATGCTCGTCGGTTAAGGGTACTCCTAATTTGGCCCGTTTTCAATAAATCGCCAATTTGGTCGATAAATTTTCGCCTAGGACGTCCCTTTCCGACTCTGCCATTCACTATATAAATAAAATATAAATAATATATATAATAACACTAATTCTCACTAATTTTAATATATTAACACGAAATTTGTTTTATTTTATATTATGTGTACCTAATGAATATGTAGTCACCTATTTCCTCGGCGAATTTCTTAAATGGCAATAGTAAGCACTCCACTAGCGACTCTGTAAACTGAACAGATAAGTTGGTGGCACTATAATCAATAAAAATGACAGCTTACCGCCATGACAGGTTTTGTTGTGTGTTGCAATTTCAAGTGGAATTTTCTGTGCTTTACCAGCAAACAATATAAAATAATTGGATACTTGAGAACCGCTTAAAATGTGTTCCACTATTTTTGAGTATGTGTACAAGGACCTGGCCCAGGCTTTATAAATTTTGAAACATCTCATTTATAAGTTGTTTTGTAGTCTATGTATATACACAAAACCATGAAGGTTAGAGAACAGGAGAACGATCACTATAGTTCATAAAAATAGCTTGATCTCTGCGACAGCTGTCAGTAAAAATCACGCCTATGAAGTCCTGAATTTCTTAGTAGTACAGACACACAGTACCTGTCAATGTCATACTTTATGGGCATGCCGACCTAATTAGTGCATGCCCATAAAGTATGACATTGACGCGTTCTGTCTGTACTACTAAGAAATTCAGGACTTCATAGGCGTGATTTTTACTGACAGCTGTCGCAGAGATCAAGCTATCTTTTATGAACCATAAGTACTACAGCATAGCCCGCCTGTCCTTGAAAATTGTAGAATGTATAGTGGCGCTGACGTCGGTGAGTAGTAACTGCGAAGTTAGCTGTTTATGAGTACAAGTAGATGAAGTTAGTTGAATAATGTACAAATTTTCATTACATTTTTAATGAGAACATTTTCATGCTCCCTAATTTTGTAATTTTTGACAAAAAGAAACATTAAAAATGGAGAAATATTTTATTGTGCGTGGATGTGCAAGTGGTTTAGCATCTGATCGGAAAAATAGACTGAAAAAAAATGACTTTTATGGACCGAACCTCGAGCGATCGCAGCGCCTCACTTATGGTGTCCGTATTTCTGGACACAATTTTCTACAGTGATCGTTCTCCTGTTCTCTAACCTTCATGACATAAAACAGTGTCTCAGTGCCGTATTTTTTAATTTCCGACACATTTAAACTTTTTTAATTCTTCTGTTTTTAGGAATATCCGTAGTTTGGTTTATCTATTTATACTTTAATTCATATAAAATATAACTATTATTTCAGAAAGAAACATTAATTTATACACTTTTATAATAAATAAATTCACCTGCTACGAAATCTGTCATATCTACACTTTTTTGAGTGGCGCCGCCCTGGTGGCAGAAAAGTCATTTCATTGAACAACACTGCCACAGACTATTACAAAAATAGAAATATTACAAAAATATAAAAAGCGACAAAATTGTCAACAATGTAATACGTAACTGTCAAATTTGGTTATATAATAAACTTTAAAGTTTATAATAATATTCAACTGTAAAACTCAATCAGGCCTCCTCTTCACTGCTAACGAAGTTAGGTCGGTTTCCCCCTCTTCTTTTCCTCAGCGTCCCCAATATTGCCAGCATCTCTTTAACAGCCTCGGGCTGGTCGTCTTTGGGCTTCTTCTCGAGGAAGTTCTGATCCGTGGACTTCAGTTGGAACTTGCCGCATTTGATTTGGTCTACTATCGCGTCTATTGCACCACCTGGAAATGATGGTTTCATCATTTAAGTAATGTTTACTATGTTTTTTTATATACATAAAAGAGGGCAAACGAGCATGCGGTTCACCTGATGGTAAGTGAATACCGCCGCCCATGAACAACTGCAACACCAGGGGAATTGCAAATCTGTTGCCGGCCTTTTAAAAAAGAATAGGCTCTTTTTGTATTAGAAACTAGAATAGAGGCTGTAAATAAAATCCGTGCAACTGTACAGGAAGCGTGAAAGTAAGCACAGAGTACCTATTCATGGCACAGACCAATACTTGAATATAAATAACTTACAATACTTGAATAGAAAATATAAATATTTATTTCAAACAACAAGGATCATAGCGATTACATTCATTCAATTCAATTCTAATAGTATAAATCATTACTAATATCTATTAATTACATCAAATGCGATAGTATTTATAATAATAATAATTTTAACTCGTGATAGGTGTAAATTGAGAATTAGTCGAAAACCGACCGAATCCCGAATGATCTGAATGAATTGTTTTTAGTGTAGCGTACTGGAGACCGAAATGATCCACTTGAATGATCGATCCGCATGTACGCGACCGGTACGCGTGACCAAATGTACTAGAATGATTCGGTCACGGGAAATGAATGATTGATAGATTTCTAATAAATATACTAATACTATACATAAATAAAATATACTACTACACGGGCTCTGCGGCCTCAATACATTGCGCACCTAGTCACGGTCAATTCCCCGTAACTCCTTTAGTCGACTGTATTTGGGCGAGAAAACTAGTTCTTTGTTTTGGATCGGTGGAGAAAATCTCTTTAAACTGCATTAAAAGACTTTCTGCTTGCGACAACTGAATTGTGTCGCTTAAAGACTCCAGTAGCTTTGATATTAGGTGTTCCGAGTTGGTCCTTGTACTAGGTATACTAGTAATTCGTCGTAAGTACTTCACATCTTGACATTGACCAATTGTACTATAAAGATATATAATATATTATAAATAATTTTCTAGGCCAGCTCAGGCCATCCCACTCTTTCGACCGAAAAGTACTAGAACACTGGAAAAATGCAACGATATGAATATCCAAAGAAGAAAAACCTTTTTTCTCGTAGACATAAGGTTGTTTCTTGCTTGTATTAGTGATGCAACAGAACTCAATTTCTGTTTCCGCAACTGCGGACGCTCTGCATGGTTTTTAACATCCGTTTCCGCTTCCGTTTCCTCAAGTTTTATAACGGAAGTTTGAACGGAACTCAGCGAAGCAGCCACATAAGTAGAGGAGGGGTGGAGGAGGGGCATTTCAACCATAAGCGAGCTGGGCACGTGCTTCGGCACTTGTCCCAACGGGTTTGTTTACATACTTTTTTAACTTTATTATACGGCGTAACTTGAGTGGAAGTGCGTAAGATTTTCTGTTTTTGCTTTTTTAGTTAATTTGTAATTTGAGTCATGTGTGTAATTTAAGTGCAATCATGAAGCCAAAAACAAGTCCTGAACTATTATGTTGAGATTGGTGATTCAGTAGCCAGATGTAAATTATGTGACAAAATATACTCGCGAACAGAACGTACAACTACTGCTTTAAAGAGCCCTCTTATACTGATACACTCCGAAGAGTTTGACAAGTTAGTTGAAACTGTTAAACTTTCATTGCAAAGTAAAAAAAATGGTCAGTCAAGGCATTGCATACCTATTTATTTATAAAATGTATTCCTGTTACAACTTAGATTTGTAAAATTAAAGTGTAAGGTTTACAATTCGGTCGCCTGAATTAGGGTGTGGGGTGAGGGGGAGAAGTTGTAGAGTCACCCCCTACTTCCCCTTCCTGCCAAACGGGCTTAGTTTTTTTAAATAAATTTTTAAAAATCTTATTTTGAGGTTATGTTTCGTAATTTTTTATGACAATTTTAACCTGATTTATGGGGAGAGAGAGTTGGGGGACGGAAGCCCCACGCCACTTAACGTGGAGCAGATGAGAGAAGCCCTGTCGACGGAGCCCCGCTTCGCAGGGCTCCCCCTTCTGAGTGGTTTGTAAAAAAATAACCACGAAGAGGATGACGGGGTCTATTCGTTCGCTTCGCTCGTTTACTCGACCCCGTCATCCCCTTCTAACCTAACCTGTCCGAGTCGGGGTGCCCTACGTCCCAGGCTCGCTTCGCTTGCTATTGCACTCAATATAACACCAAAATATTAACTTTATAACTACTTTAATTCAAACATAGTTTATGGCTGCCACCATTTTTAAGAAAGGATCTTTGCGATATTTAGCAGTATTCCGCTGCCACAAATATTCCACTATTCACCAAAATTATGAAACTCGGAAGCAACGGCATGACGAAAAGTTGTCAACAAAATGGCCGGCCTAGAGATTAATTTTACACATTTTTAAATCGATTCAAATCGAAATTGGATGAATCGATTCACAAAAATCGAAATCTTAAAGAGCGATTTCGCAAAAATCGATCTTTTTTTGATTTGCATTAAAAGTTTATATTTACAATATCAAAAGATACAATAAAGTACAGATAACATTGAATGATTGAATTGAAAAACTGTCATTCCCTACGAGTTGGGGTACATTCAACTAATTATAAATAATTTTATAAATCTAAATAAAACAGAAAAAGATTCGATCTCGATTCTCTAGCGTGAAATATCGATTCAGTACTATATATCGATATGAAATTGACGGAATAAGCGTCAAAAACGTGAGAATATTTAATTAATTAGTCATTTACCAATACTTTTAAAAAATAATTAAAAATACTTCGACGCTGCTCCGGCAGATAAAATCGCGTGGGGGTGCTTCAGATAAACCCCCTTGACCCCCCCCCCCCACACAGCGACAGAATCTACAAATTCAAGCGACCGAATTGTAAACCCAACCCAAATTAATTAGGCAGCAGTTATATTTACATGAAGTTTATAATTTTTAACGTGAAGTTTATATTAATTATTTTTGACGTGAAATTTATATTATTTATTTTTTACTTGTAGTTTATATTAATTATTTTTAAAGATACTTTAATGAGTATTTTGGATTCAAAGTTCGTTTACGTCCTACTTTCGCGCTAGGGCTGTACTAAATTACCTACTCGCTAAACCTAAATGCGGCTCCTTAAAGGGTCTGCCCATATTTCAATGCCAGTTTAGCTTTGGTGTATACTCAGCAACGCCAGTGATAAATTATTTAGCTGATCTGGACTTATATACGAAGAACACTGGAATAGATTATTAGGTGTAAAAGCGGTCGAACTACTTTTCATAAAATGTAACTGTATGTATGTAACATTTTTAAAAGTTTTATTTCAATTTTTTTTAATAAATAGTAGGGTAAGCAGTAGTAATGTTGGCCCCCCCCCTCAATGATTGGCCTCTCGAATGTAAAATCAATATATTAAGAGTTAGCCTTGAGTACAAGGTAGAAAAAAATTGTTATATTTTTCTTTGATGACAACACTCTAGAACGCAACTGGTAGTTTTAAAACTTAACAGCTAGCAACACTCGAAAAAAAATCACATTGCAGCCACTACAACTAAGGGAGTGTTTTGTTACGAAAATCGTAAGAAGTAAGTATTTTTATATTGATATTTACCCGTTTTCTTCTTATTCTAATTGTGAGATATGTATTTCTATATGTCAATTACCATTCAATTTGGATTTTCATATTATAATTGATGTAAAAATACTCAAGATAACGTAAAAATAAGTAGGCCAAAGTTAGTATCCATGGTTGATATGAAAGATTAATTGATTGGCATCCCTGCCAATAATAGTAGTAAGCGTTTTAAATTAACTCCAATATTTTAAGCTTTTGATAAATGCTACTGGTAACTCCCTTTTAAATGACAATAATCAAAATGTCATAAGTTCGCAGTAACTACATTTTGGCGGGGCCAATCATTATACATTTACGTTATTAGCCGTGATAATCATTATACTTTTAGCTATGCTAATTTTTGTACAAAGAGATCTTAAATACGCAGTGATGTACCGATGTCGATACTATATTATGTATACTTATTTAATGTATTTTTATGGGTTACATATTAAACTCATGTTTAAATGTCTAATTCTTTGCCCGAGCGTTTTGGTGAATTTGAGTGTTTCGTGTGTTGTTTAATTCAGCTTAATATCGTTTAAAACTTTTGAAACCTAAGATTTTTCTTATCTTTTAGTATAGCATATATATCTGGTTTTGCTTCAAAAATAATTTATTAGTTTTTCTTTCCATGCTATATTTCTACTTTTTCGTAAGTTCTATATAGTAACTAATAAAACAAGTCAATATTTAAAAACATAATTGGGATTTTTACAAAAAAAAAATAAGCTTATATATTGTTGCAGAAAAATGCCAAAGTCTGCAAAAGGAGAAGTATATATAAAAAAATATACTGAGGAAGATTTAGAAGCGGCAATCCAAGCAATTCAAAATGGTATGTCTAAAAGAGCAGCTGCCAAAGTATTTGGGATACCTCGAGGAACTTTGCAGTTTCGATTACAAGGGAATTTTTTAAAAACGAGACCAGGTCCGCCTACAATCCTTACAAATGACGAGGAAAACGCTTTGGTTGAGTGGATAATACAAAGCAGTAGAAAAGGTTTTCCACGGCGTAAAGAAGATCTATTACAAAGTGTTACTGACTTTCTAAAGAAATCACCTAGGCCAAATAATTTTATAGATAATAAGCCAGGAGAGGGGTGGTACAAGTTGTTTCTTAAACGTCACCCCGAAATAGTACAAAGAACGGCTGAAGCTGTTACTTCGGCAAGTGCCAATGTATCAGAAGAGAACATCAAAAAATGGTTTCAGCAAATTGAAACTTGGTTAGAAGAAGAAGAATTCCGGCATATTCTACGAGATCCTAAACTTATTTTTAACGGCGATGAAACAAATTTCTTGTTATGTCCAAAAACCTCCAAAGTTTTAGCCCTAAAAGGTACTCGCGACGTGTATGAGGTGGATAACGCGCCTGCGAAATGTGGACTGACGGTGATGTTCACATTTTCGGCTACCGGAGTTATTACTCCACCGATGATTATCTACCCACTCTAACGTAACAGAGCAGATATTACGGCGTCTGTACCACCAGAATGGGGTTTAGGTCTGTCATCAAATGGATGGATGAACAAAGATCTATTTTTACAATACATTACTAATGTTTTACATCCATATCTTGTAAAAGAAAATACAAAATTCCCCATTCTTCTGTTTGTTGATGGACACAAAAGTCATATCAATTTTGAACTTAGCAAAGCATGCAAAGAAAGAGGTATAATACTTATAGCATTATACCCAAACGCGACTCGCATCTTACAACCCGCAGATGTAGCTGCCTTTAAGCCGATAAAAAGTGCATGGAAAAAGGGAGTTTTAGAATGGAGAAGGGAAAATGCGACAAAAAATTTGACAAAAATTAATTTTGGACCAATACTAAGCATAGTATTAAAGAAATATATAGACAAACAAATTATTATAAACGGATTTCGAGCTTGTGGATTGTATCCTTGGAATCCAAATGCAATTAACTACCGAAAATGCCTTGGCAAAAATGTGACCCAATCGACCAGAATTCAAGAAAACAGACCACAAAGGGCAATAACATTCAAAGACTTTGAAAAAAATCGTGGGACAAAACATCGTATCCCGTCTTACTTCTGAGACACCCGATAAATCAAATTGTTTTTACAAAGCATTAAAAGACATATACGACCATTTGAAAGGCAAAAATATAGAACAGGAAGACAGTACTATTTCAAGCGATTATTTAGTAATTGAAAATAAATTGATGGCAATAAATGACATACCGATCGTAATTTCAAACTCCAATAATATTGAAGAATCTCATACCGACACTATTGAAACTGAAACTACAGAGAATACTGAATTACCTACAACAGACTTATTTGACGATTTGAAGACCCTAAACCTAACAGAGTCCTACAATTTGTCAGCAGATATTCGGAATACTATTGAAATGAATAATAATTACAAACAGAGCCAACTTATAGCGAATTCAGATTCAGACACTCAAAATTACTTAAAAAATGAAATATTTAATGTTCTGGAACCTACCAGTGATAATGTCGTTAAAGACCCTAATCAATTGATGTCACCTAAATTAACAGCTATTGCTGAAATGCATAATGTTGACAAACTGAGCGAAAGTACAGCGACTGTTAATGTTCTAAACAAAGAGTCAAATTAAATAACAAACCCAAATTTATTAGTAATAGATAACGTTAGAGAGACTATTAATAAATCAAATATTAATAACCAAAACCAAATAGCAGAGACAGAAAATAACAAAAAATATGATTTTAATTTTGGCAATGCTAAATACGATAGCGAAATGACACCTCCGAAATTAAAAGAAATTCTCAATTGGCCCCAGACACCACAACGTAAAGGGAAAATTATGACCCACAATCCCATTTATGTCTTGACTAGCCGCAAATGGCTTGAAATCGAGGAAAAGAAAAAAATGAGAAAACAAAAGAAAAAGAGAAAGAAGAACGTAAAAAAGGGAGAGAAGAGAAAAGAAAACAGACAGTAAAAAGCATCACAAAAATATCAAAGCATACCAAAAATATGAAAATCGATTCGAAAAACTTAGAAAACATTGAAATATTAAGACAAGAAGAAAAAGTTCCTAGGCATCTATTAAATAAAAACTCAAAAATTGAAGAAAATAACAGAAAAAATAAAGCGGAAACAAAAACCGAAATAAAAGAACGAAAAAGAAAATATGATAAATCATTAACCACTGCATACAATAAAAAAAATTAAAATAGATGTATGTGATAAAGAGACTGAGAACAATATTTTTAAGTGTGATGATACCAAGACTGAGTTATTAGATATAGACCAGATTAAAAAACTACTCCAAAGCCTAATAAAGAAAGTAACATTAAAATTTTGTCTGTTGTGAAGGCGCCAGTTATGCATAATCCAAGAAATATTTTTAATGAAAACAGTTGCATTGATACAAAGGTACCATTCGTTTTATCCAAACCCAAATCTATACTAAACAGAGGAGAGACATTCCGTAATGAAGAAGAACTGAGTAATTTTCTTAATGATGAATACCTAAATATGGACGAAAGCTCGATGTAAATATAAATCGATAAAAAAATTATACCCTGCACATCACTATCGTTAAATATTATAATTTTTTTAGTGATTGGCCCTAACATGGTATAATAATTGGCAGTGCTAATAAACACAAAGTACAATGATTGACATGACATGACATGCCAATAATTATACTTTTGATATGCCAATTTCTATACACCAATGGCCAATGATTGTACTTTTGGCTCCTTTTTTATGTTTATTGCAATAAAGTTATTAATTAGATGCAAAATGATTATGGTTGTGATTTATTCAATTTCCCAGGTTCTTAAGACACAACTTGACAGTAAATGTTATATGATTATGAACCTTATTTAGGTATAAGAAATTTTCAAATTCAATGATCACCTTAAAGGGCCAATCATTGTACTCCTTACCCTATTTCCGTTTTCGCATCCGTTTCTGTTTCCGTTTCTGCAAAAAAAGATTTTTAACATCTGTTTCAGTTTCTGCTTCCGATATGACACTTCCGTTGCATCACTAGTTTGTATTAATAGTCCGAATGGTATCTTTTTTATGCCCACGCATTTCACTACTTGACCAAGACTACTGATACCTATCGTCCAAGAGCATTTCGTACAACGTGACGAAATACGCAACGGGCTGTCGTAACAATACAATATACTGACCGCCATTTTGTTTGGTCCTCTTGAGCGTTCCTTGCTTAGAAGCGAGCATCTTGGCCATGTCGTCAGTGTTCCCCGCGGGGACGTTCGCTGGTAGCGGTGGAGGGGGCGGCGGAGGAGGCGGAGGCGGCAGGCATGGTGGTGGCGGCGGGGGAGCGAGGGCGGAGTGGGGAGCGGGGCCTGTCTGTGCGGGGGGCGGACTGGGGCTCGATTCTGCGTCTGCTGGAACTAATAATCCTTATATGAATTCATTTGTTTAAATAAAATACACGTAATAATTTATACGTCGAAGAGCACCAAATACCAGCGTGAAATAATAGCTCACTGCCGTAGTTTCGAACAGTGGTTGTAGAAAATCCGAGACCCTTTTTACTGAAAATGAGGCATTCCGTCAAGGTTCACAAAGGTGACAACATATCTGCATTTTGATTCTTAATCGAGGATAAATGTAGATGTCTATAAGCTACAGCATCCACTTACAATCAGGTGCTCGTTTGTTATCCTAATTCTATAAAAAAAAAATAATGAGTTAACTGATGCTGTAATGTAAAGTCGAAAAGGAAAAGTCTTCAAAGTGGAAGGACTTTCCTTTTCCACCATCGGACAACCAGGTGCTCAGCTTTTGTTGTCGATATTCCATGAATTTGAACCAAATTGTCTGCTTTATTTTTCGTAATGTACAGTAAAGACATACGTTTTGTACGTGGTAAAGCCATGCTGCAGTTATATTAGTAGTATAGTTATAGCACGAATGGGTCGACTCGACCAGGGAAGGACCACGCTCTCACAGAATACCAGCGTGAAATAGTAACCTAATGCTGCTGTGTTTCGTATGATAAGTGTATAGAACCGGAGACCCTTTTTACTGGAAACGAGGCATTCCATCTTAGTCTTCACGGGTGACAACGCATCTGCATTTTGATTTGTAATCGAGGATAGCTGTAGATTTCTATGGGCCGCAGCAACCACTACCACCAGGTGGACTGTGTCCTCGTTTGTCACCCTATCCTATAAAAAAAACAGAATAATCAGACGGCGTCTTTCTCATGTACCTCTAAACATCGACAGATGAATCAGCACGAGCCGTCCACATGTCTGTAGGTCGTTCAGTCTGTGTTAATTCTTGACAGACGCAATTCGAATTCACGCAGCATTTAACAAATGGATGATAAGACCGTAGCTGCCGCACTTATTTATTTGTTTAGTAAATTTAACTGCAACTTGAGTCTGTATCGCAGTAAAGGTACTAAAAGAGTTGGCAATCGCAACTCCGATAACACTGATGCGTCGCCAGACGTGTGGACAGACGCCGTGCGCTCACGCTGAAACCCTTTGTTGCATGTCACAAAAATCTGCCTGCGTTAAATACCTACCACAGACGAGCGAATTTCCTCGTCTACACGTCGGCAGGCGCATCCGCAGATGACATCTGCTGATGCATCTGTCACGTGTAGAAGTGGCTTTTCCGACTGATTACAATGTGGGCGTATTCAAGACAAGAGTGAATGAATATGCTGCGCTAACCATCTAAGGCTACAGTGCGATTTACCATCTAGGACTTCATCACCACTTACCACTAGATGGAATTGTAAACAAGCACTAACTTATTATAAGTAAAACAAAAGTATATAATATAATATAATAAAATAAAATTAAAATATAATAAATAATGAAATACATAATATAGTATAATATAATAAAATAACCCCCAGCAGTGTGAAAATCAGAATGTGTAGTCAAGCACTGACTTATACGAAAGTAAAAAAAGATTTTAATAACCTCTGGAAATGAGATGCTGAGCTAGCTATTTCTAATACATATACATATATAGAGACTTACGCAACTTTAATATTGCTCGTATTAAAGAAGCGATCGAGCGGAACCAGGGCTCCAAAGTCTTTGCCAGAGATCTGTCTGCCAGAAAGAGCCAACTGTCAAAGCTGAAGACTGAGTGTGGCAGCATCGTTTCCGGGACACCTGAGATTTTGAGTGAGATTGAGAGGTTCTATGGGCAGCTGTACACATCATCGTTGGAGCCACACGCAAGTGTGAGTAACGATACAAGAGCAAGTCTTACCCGACGCTATTCCGATGATATCCCGGACGTCAGTCTGAGCGAGATTAGAATGGCTCTCCAGCACCGTAAAAACGGCAGGGCCCCAGGCGAGGATGGAATTACAGCGGAGCTTCTGAAAGCGGGTGGAACACCGGTACTTGAAGTCCTTCAGAAGCTCTTCAATTCCGTCTTCCATGGTGGCACTACTCCGGAGGCGTGGAGCAGAAGTGCGGTGGTCTTGTTCTTTAAGAAAGGCGACAACGCTCTCTTGAAGAACTACAGACCGATTTCCCTTCTGAGCCGCGTCTAGGGAGAGTCACGATCGTCTCAGACTCGACGACTTCCAGCCTCCCGAACAAGCCGGTTTCCGAAAAGGCTTCAGTACCATAGACCACATACATACTATGCGGCAGATTGTACAGAAGACCGAGGAGTACAATCTGCCACTGTGCCTGGCGCATCTGGACTATGAGAAAGCCTTTGATTCCGTCGAAATTTGGGCGGTGCTACAGTCCCTTCAGCGGTGCCAAGTTGACTGTCGGTATATCGAAGTGCTGAAGTGTTTGTACAGTAGGGCTACAATCAGTATCCAACTGCAGAGAGGTGTAAGACAGGGTGACGTTATATCCCCGAAACTCTTCACCGCTGCGTTGGAAGACGTTTTCAAGCTATTGGACTGGAAAGGATACGGTATTAACATCAATGGCGAGTACATCACTCACCTTCGATTTGCCGACGATATAGTCCTTATGGCAGAATCGCTCGAAGACCTTAGCACTATGCTCAATGACCTAAATGGTGTCTCCCAACGGATAGGTCTTAAGATGAACATGGACAAAACAAAGATCATGTTTAATGTCCATGTCACACCTATGCCGGTAGTTGTTGGGAGCACTATGCTCGAAGTTGTTTACGAGTACGTTTACCTGGGACAAATAGTCCGACTAGGTAAGTCCAACTTCGACCGAGAGGTCAATCGACTGATTCAAATCGGCTGGGCATCGTTCGGGAAATTACGACACATCTTCACGTCAGGTATACCTCAATCTCTGAAAATTAAAGTGTACAACCAGTGCGTGTTGCCAGTGATGACTTACGGATCAGAGACGTGGTCCTTCACCGCTGGCCGTTTGAGGACGCTCAAAGTCGCTCAGCGAGCTATGGAGAGGGCTATGCTCGGAGTTTCTCTGCGTGATGGACTCAGAAATGAGGATATCCGCAGTAGAACCAGAGTGACCGACATAGCCGAACGGATTAGTAAGCTGAAGTGGCAATGGGCCGGCCATATAGCTCGCAGAACCGATAACCGATGGGGAAGAAAGGTTCTCGAGTGGCAGCCTCGTACCGGTAGGCGTAGTGTAGGGCGACCCCCCACTAGATGGAGTGACAACCTGGTAAGACATGCAGAAAGTCGATGGATGCAGGTGGCTCAGGACCGTGCTTTGTGGCATTACTTGGGGGAGGCCTATGTTCAGCAGTGGACTTGTGAAGGGATGTAATGATGATAATGATGATGTAATGTATTCGCATCCTTTTAAATGAACGCATCTATAACAGTAATTCACCATTTTAGATATTATATTTTTCGAAAACGGCACTTAAAATCAGTTAAATAAGTACTTATACAGGCTGGTCCAAACAGTGAGGTTATAAAATTTTTTTTGATTCCTCACACCTAGGGGTATCCGAAAATACCCTATGTACCCCTATGTACTATGTTACGCAATTTTTTGTAGTTTTCGAGTTATGATTTTTTTTACCCTTTTTTTCGAAAATATTCACCCTAAACAGCTTAACATTAAAAAAATGTAATTGTGAATTTTTTTCCAAGTTTTTTTGTTTGTAGCATGATCCTGGTAAGACATGCAGGAAGTCGATGGATGCAGGTGGCTCAGGACCGTGCTTTGTGGCGTTACTTGGGGGAGGCCTATGTTCAGCAGTGGACTTGTGAAGGGCTGTAATGATGATGATGATGATGATACATATATAATAATACATGTTTGTAAACTGTTCTTTTTTTATGTCTCGCTAGGTTTCTTGCTAGTTTTCCCAATACAGAGGACGAATTAAATGGTAAATTAAATTAACATAAGAATGACTCTTATTGAGTACTAGAGATCCCAGGCCAAGGCTTCCCACGGGTGATTTCTGAATCTAGACAGCAGCCCACCGAGTACAAATGCGAATCTAAGCCATTTAGGGACCCACTGAAACACATGAAAAAATATCATCAAAATGAGTCGAGCCAGTTTCGAGTGTTTTAGATGAACGGATGGGACGTCATATTTGATTTACATTAAAAAATCTGTATAAAATATCAACATAGTATAAAACAAAGTCGCTTCCCGCCGTCTTTACGCTTAGATATTTTAAACTACGCAACGGATTTTGATGCGGTTTCCATCAAAAGAAAAAATTATTTAAGAGGAAGGTTTATATGTATAATACATACACATGTTGTCGAGATCCAAAAATCACCCGAGCGAGGCCAGGTCGGATCACTAGTAAATTATATTTCTATCTCTAATTAACGTCAATAAGGTTTTATCGCATTCAGATCGCGTGAGTATTATACAAAAACACATGTATGCAGTAACTTACCATTCACTTCTTCTATTTCTTTTTTCATTTCTATCACCTCTTCCTTTTCTTCCACTTTCTCCACCACGTTCTTCACTGTTTCGTTTCCGCAATTTTCAAAGTAACTTATTTTTGACATAAGAGCAGATTTTTTCGCTTGCGGTCGATTTTTTTCTATTTCTGCTAGTCTCTTTTCGGCTTTCTCTGCTCGTTCAAGAGCCTTTTGAGCGTCTTCTTCTGCCAGTCTTATTTTCTCTTCCCAAAGCAGGATGTCCGTTTCCTCGTGTTTCTCTGCGAGTTTTAACTGTAAAATTATAAAGTAAACCTTATTTAGATATAAAAGGTTTTTTGGTATATTCGAAAGAAATGACGATGAAACGTAAGGAATTGCTAGTGTTTTAAAATATTGTTTTCTTTTATAAACGAACGGCCTTCCTCTTAAAAATCACCATCAATTTACTTAAAATTGTTCTCCCTTTCTCTTTTCACTAAATGACAATAGAAAGAGACAGGTAAAGAAATAATTAATCAACGATTATAAGAAACTGTGGGTACTGCGATTGTTGATCCGTTTGGCGAAGATTCGCGTAAAAAATAAAAATGATGTGTCTTAACTAGATTGAGGGGCACCTCCCGCTCTTCTTCAATTACGTGCACTACCCTCATCACCACTAATCCCAACACCACTACACTAAGAAAAAGAAACCATCGTCGAAAATAAGATACGTGCTTCGCCTGTAAACGAAGCATCGTCAAGTGTGAATTACAGTCGGCGACGGTGACAAAGTATGTTAAAAAAAAGTTAACATCTTTAATATAAATAATTTCAGCCGGCAGCTTAATGCTACTATGTTTCATATCGTCAGTGTAGAGAATCGGAGACACTTTTCACTGGAAACAAGGCATTTGAAACTTAAGCGAGTATAAATATAGATGTGTATCGGCCGGACTGTGTACTCTTTTGTCATCCTAATTCTACAAAAAAGACTAGTTGAGTTGATTAATCAATTATAAATGTAAACATGGAGGTTAAAAAACAGGAAAACGATCACTACGTACTAAAGCATAGCCTGCCTGTCTTTGAAAATTGTAGAATTTATAGCGGCGCTGACGTCGGTGAGTAGTGACTGCGAAGTTAGCTGTTTATGAGTACAAGTAGATGAAGTTAGTTGAATAATGTACATTCTCCGGCATTGGTGAGAAAATTTTCATGCTCCGTAATTTTTGACAAAAAGAAACATAAAATGGAGAAATATTTTATTGTGCGTGGATGTGCAAGTGGTTTAGCATCTGATCGGAAAAATAGACTGAAAATGACTTATGTTGACCAAATTTAGCGATTGCAGCGCCTCACTTACGGTGTCCGTATTTCTGGGACACTATTTTTTACGGCGATCGTTCTCCTGTTTTCTAACCTCCATGAATGTAAATGTCCATGAATGTGCGGCTCATAAATAACCACTATTCTATAAAAAAAAAACTTATTGAGTCAAATTTTGTGTGCACCGAAAGATGTACATGCCAAGCAGTGAAGTTTTATGGCCGGACTAAGAGGAAAAAAAAGTAGCAGGTAACCTGCAGCTCGTCCAACTGGTCCTGGTGCCGCGTGGCTTGCAGGTGCAGCGCGGTGCGCAGCGAGTCCACCTCACCCAGCAGCTCACCCAGCCGCTCGTCCATTTCCAGCTCGCCCATCAGCAGCGCACTCTGGTGCGTTAGCACCTTTACACGCTTTTTTGCGTCGCGAGCCTCGCTCTTGTATCTGTGGAGAGTTTTTATTTATTTATTTTTTAATTAATGCATACGTACTAGAGCAACGCTGCAGCTATATTGTGGTTGTAGCATGATTCGATCGGCACGGCCAAAGAAGGACCACGCTCTCACAGAATACCAGCGTTAAATAGCAAGTTGATGCTGCTGTGTTTCGTATGGTGTAGAGAACCGGATACCCTTTTTACTGGAAACGAGGCATTGCATCTTAGTCCTCAGGGGTTCATTTGCATTTTCTATGCGTCTATGGGCAACAGCATCTTCTTACCATCAGGTGCACTGTGTGATCGTTTGGGTGAAAAACTATATTTTTATATTTAAAGACGTTTAATTTTATTTTACAATCCATTTCACAAAATGGCATGACAACCCCTTTTCTAAAACAAAGTAAGGATCAGTTATACTCTATATGAAATGTTTGATTGTTTAATTTACTTTAGTCACTCGATGTTTATGTACGAGCAGTTTGTAATATAAACTGTTTTGACATGTACGTCGTATGAAAAAAAACGGACATAAGGCCCTATGATCTATAACATTCAGAGTTCCGATATTTACGTAGTAGTATGGGTGGCGATGAACCATGACAGAACTTCAAATATTTGAATGCATTTTAGAATCTTAAAATATAATTTGTATCCTAATCGATTGTCTACCAGGTTAAGCGGCCGTCAAATTCACCCAGAAAGTATTTATCTTTCTTCTTTATAATAAATATTATATTCAAGGCCTTGAACATAATATTTATTATAAAGAAATTTGTTACCATATTTAAATCGATTTAGCTAAAGACCTTGTAGCCAAAACCACAATAATACACAGTACTACCAATAAGGTTAAAGAATGGGATTGAAAATGGCGTTGGCGTCACCTCCATTCACTTCTTGCTCGAACACTATCTCTATCTATAGTCACACCCAACGGCAAAAACTACAAAAAACTACGTTGCGTTATGCGTTTTTCTTACGTTTTATAACTTCTGTTAAACCTGTTATTGGAATTGAAATTAACAAAATGTCATAAACTACAAAACAATCAGTGCGGTTTTGCTAATTTGTGAGCTACCGACGCGTCCTGAGAGTTTTCTTCATAACTATTCTTGATTGTGTTTGTTAATATTTTTGTATAAAATATTTACATGCCACAAAATTTCGTTTTTCTATCTGTCTGTCCAAGCTTCGGAATGGTATATATTATATTGTAATATTCACGGGCAAGTAGAGAGTAATACCAGGAGTGATCTGGATTAAATTTTATCCAACATTTTATTAGAATAGAAATATTGATAAGATTTAATGGTCTTTAATGGTCTTTAATGATTATCTTAAGTCTAAATAACACCACATTAATAGATCCCAATCACGCGAAGCCAGAGCGAAATAGAAGTTATAAATCTTATTTTAAATTAATGTATCGATAATAATGAATCGAATAATATAACGTTATAACGATATATCGTTATTAGCAGGTTTTCGCTATTTGTACTGTGTATGTTGACGGTATGGGCTCAATGATGCGCCATTTCTAATCCCATTCCTTATCCGAATGGACTGTAAAAATGAAAGTATGGACGGGGTCCGGATTGCTAGTGAGTTTTAGCGGGTACTTGCCACTAGATTAATACTCATGTTAAATCGTTTAAATAACGATTAAAATGTAACTTTTTTTAGTGAAAACGAGGAAGAAAGTAATTCTATAGTGATATAATTTAGAGTTTTTTATCCACTTATTGGCCAAGATATGTCATCGTCATCAATTGTCTTCTGGGTTAAACTGTTTTCAATGTATCCGAAGAACTTCGCGATGTGAGGCATATTGTGAATAATTTTAGGAACGAAATAAAAATCAATTTAGGCTATATGGTATAAGTACTCTGTCTGCCTTAATAGCAAAACTCACTGACCTCTATAATATGAAGTGAAGAGGGAAGGAGTACAGACTCTGTATAAAAAAGTGATCCGTAGGAAAGCGCTAAATAGCTGGCGCCACTGTAGCTACAGTCCAAATTTTAAAGTACTTTTTATAATCGTTTTATGGCACAGACTTTTACCATAATTCTTTTTACAATAATTATTTTATTGCTTCCAAAATTTTTATTTTCAAAATCACTCTCAACGTATTTTACGGCGATTTATCTGTATCCCTGTAGCTACTCAAGCGCTGTTGTGGAGAGTTTTTGAACTGTTATTTACTGCTTACAGAAGGACACATTTTCAACTATTCTCCTATGGGAGATTGCCCTCCTTACCTCTATACTCCATGCTCTTATATATACAAGTACGCTGTATATATATAGAGGTCAGTGGTAAAAATGCAAGTGGATAGCTGCTTATGTTTGTCTTTTAGGAGAAAGTACCTGCTATATATTTATTAAATTACACGAATTAAATTTTAACTGTATATTATACCGTTAACCTTTGAGATTATTTTATTAAAGTATACATTGGTTTTAAAAACATAAAAGGCGACTATATTCAAATTGTGGCATGTTTCAATTCATTTGTAACGCCTTTGACCTTGCAACGGCAGCTAGGTTTTTAAAGTTTACTTAAAATTAGTGGTACTTACTGAAAGATAATTTTGAAAAACATGTATGCCATAGGCTTCTACTTCGTTCGTCTATTACTACTATTGTTTCCCAACGTAAAAGAAGTCAACCGTTGTATGACCAACAAATACATTTTTGGGTTTGGGTGTGTATGTATTGTTTATGTTTGCCAAAACCTCCCACGACAGGATTTTAAAGTTAAACGGTACATAAAACTTTCAAAAATAAATATTGTATTTAATTAACAAATAATATAATGTACTCATAAAACGTTTTATTAAAAAAGAAACAATCCCGCTGGCCTATTCTTTCCAAGGTGGAGATATTTTCCAATACAAAAACGACTCGCTTTAATAAGTATAAAGTAATAATCTATATTAAATTGTTTATTCTATTTTATTCTATTTCCTATAATGTCGTGGTAGCGCATCGAACTATATTACTAGCGTATAGTAACCTCAATGTGGTAGCGTTGCTTTGTGTGGGTTTAACGTAACAGCAAAATAAAAATAACATGCCTCTTTTTCAAACTTACGTTTCGGCCATCTGTCTGTCCTTGTCTGCATTCTCCTTGAGCGCCGTGACTTCTTCGATCAGTAACTTTGAGACTCTGTTGTGTCTCTCCAGCTGGTTGCGCAGCTCCTGCAGTTCCTTCTCTTGTGTAATGCATTTCTCTTTCTCTGTTTCTAGCTCCTGATGGTCGATAATAATATATTTTTGAAAGCTGGCTGTAGCTTACTGTAGCTGCAGCTTATTATGGCTGCTGCACGAATGACTCGAGGGTTAATCTCTGGAAACTATGCTCTTACATAAGCATAATGCTGCTGTGTTTCGTACGATTAGTTAAAATCGGAGACCTATTTACTGGTAACGAGGCACATTCCATTTTAGTCTTCAGGCGTGTAAAGGCATATGCATATTGATCCTTAATCGAAAATAGATAGTCTCTATGGGTCAATCCACTTATGATCAGGTGGACTATGTGTTATTATGTTAGCTTAACTTGAAGTAGGTAATCAAGCGTGCTCGAGTGAGTGTGTGTTTGTGTGTACGTGCACGTGTGCGTGTCTGCAAGCGCGCGCTCGTGTGTATGTGTGTGTGTGTGTGTGTGTGTGTGTGTGTGTGTGTGTGTGTGTGTGTGTGTGTGTGTATGTGTGTGTAAATAGCTATCTCGCCCTCTCTCTCTCTGTACCTGTGCGAGCGCTACGCTGTGCTCGTGTGCCTCGAACTCGTGCAGGCGCGCAGCACTCAGCTCAGTCTGCAGTGCAGCCACCTGCTCACTCAACTCCGACACTGTGCGCTTCAGGAACTCCACCTCCTCGTTGCTGCTGCTGTCCGAAGCTGTGGGTCAACGTACCTTCATTATCAACAGCCCATATACCAAGCGGTAAGATTCCTTTCCAACTAGGGATACATCTCGGAAGGTAATATCATCTCACCCTTGTCTGCTGCCACATAGCAGTGCTTGCACTGATATGTTCTGAAGAATAAGGAGAGCCAGTTCAAGTACGGGCTTTTTTATAAAACTGAAGTGGCAAATGAAATGGTGAGTGGCCACTGTAGCCCATGGACAACTGCAGCCAACTTCAAACAAAGAAGGGGCTGAGGATTAAGATAGAATACCTCACAGCCTGTAGTTATACTGGCTCTCAATACACTTTAGCCCAGAATATAGTAGTGCAAGCACTAGTATTTGATATAGAATTGGGTAAGAGGGTGGTTCCTACTCAGACGAACTACTTGACAGAAAAGGAGACCCACCACAAAGTAAAACACTGTTCCCGTAACCCTGTCAATAAGTGACGAAAGTGGAACACTAAAGTTTTATTCGATGTGAGTACAACATCCTGTTCTTGTCCAGGTAGACCTTAAAGTCCGTATCGCACCACTGTTTGAGCTTGGACATGCAGAAGCTGATGGTCCCCCTAGATACCACCCTGGTGGATCCCACGGATGAAGGTGAGGTCGTTGAGACTATAATATACTAAAAACGGTGTATTCACTGAGCACACACGGGATCACACAATACAAATTATTTCACGGTGCTTAAGCAAACCGTGCTGGTCAAATCACATCGCGATACAAACAACGCGCAACGCCATCTGTTATTGATGATCCAAACTAAATTACTTCGAACAACCACTGCATAACAAACTGCCGCGAAGCAGAAGCGCGTGTAGTCCTGTGTTCCAGTATGTAGGAAACAGAGAGCCAGTTTAATAACAGATTTCTTTATTTAAAACTGATTCCAGGTGTCTGTGGAATTTAGTAACCCACTACCTTACTTAATCACTTACCATCATGTGGTCTGTGTGTTCACAATTCAAGGGAAAGAAAATAGTGTGGGAGAGAAGTCACTGGCATGCAAGTTATAATACAATTTTAAATATTAAAAAAATACGGAGAAAAATTGTAGAGTTGGTTCGAAATAAAGATCTTACCTGCATCTGTAGTATCAGTGAGATCAATGTCGACTGGTGCAGTTGGTAGCGCGTGGAGCAATGCTACGCTCCTCCTCTTCAACTGCTTGTTCTGCTTGTACCATTCTCCAGCTTGCTGCATAACCCTAGAGTTGAGAATATTGTGCTTTAGATTTTTTTATAGAATAAGGGTGACAAACGAGCACACAGTCCACCTGATAGTAAAAAGATGCTGTGGCCCATGGACACCTACATCTATTCTTGATTAAGAATCTTAATGCGGATGCATTGTCAACCCTGAGGACTAAGAAAAAATCCCTCGTCTCTATTAAAATGGGGTCTCCGTTTCTCTGCATTCACTATACGTACATAGAATTCCTTTATACGTATAGTACTGCTTCTTCTTCATTGGCCGGGAACACTTTCTCTCGGAACCTCTATATAGTAGACAATACGATTTTTATATTTAAATAAGTAGACAAACCGGCAAGCAATTCGCTTAATTTGATTTCTTAGTCCACAGAAACCTACATCTATCCTTAATTGATCTTTTTTTTCTTTTTTTTTTACAGAAGAGGGGGCAAACGAGTATGCGGCTCACCTGATGTTGTAGTGACTACCGCCGCTCATGATCAACCGCAACACCAAGGGAATTGCAGGGGCGTTGCCGACCCTTTAGAAAGGAGTACGCTTTTTTCTTGAAGGTCCCCAGGTCGTATCGGTCCGGAAAAATCGCTGGTGGTAAACTATTCCACAGAGAGGTTGTATGCGGAAGAAAACTCCTCTTGAAACGTACAGTGGTGGACCGCCAAGCATCCAGATGGTGTGGATGGTATCGGGACGTTTGCCGCGTAGTGCGTTCACGAAATTTGGCGGCTGAGATTAATCCGAACAATTCCTGAGAGCACTTTCTATGGTATATGCGAAAGAAAATGCAAAGAGATGCAACATTTCTTCGCAGTGCCAGTGAATCGAGCCGATCGGAAAGCACTCGGTCGTCGACGATTCGAGCCGCTCTGCGCTGAATGCGGTCAAGTGGAAGGAGCTGGTACTGAGGAGCCCCAGCCTAGAGATGGGAACAGTATTCCATATGCGGCCGAACCTGCGCCTTGTAAAGTTGCAGGCGGTATGCCGGCATGAAATACTGTCCCGCTCTGCTGCGCACGCCAAGCTTTTTAGAGGCCAATAGGCCAATTTGGCCTTCTCTTCCAAGTGACCACGAAACTGCACATCACTCGATATGTCGACGCCGAGGATTCCGATACTGGCTGAGGCAACAAGGGGAGTGCCTTGAAACTGAGGAGATACGACAAAGGGGTTCTTTTTAGCGGTTAACGCGCAAACTTGTGTCTTCTGGGGGTTAAACTGGACTAGATTTAGTCGCCCCCAATCCGAGACTCTGTTCAGCAAAGACTAGACTTTAGACACAAGTTTGTCCCGGCACTCGGAGACGTTTTCCCGAGAAATATTGGCTCGGCCGATGTAAAGAGCATCATCAGTGCTGTCATCTACATAGCAATGAATGTTACGGGTTTGCAACATATCATTGATATGCAGAAGAAACAGCGTTGGCGATAGCACGCAGCCTTGTGGAACACCAGCATTATTAGGCTTGCAATCGGAGCTTGCACCGTCTACAACGACCTTGATGCCCCGATCTGCAAGAAAGCTGGTGATACAATCGCACAATTTCTCGGGAAGCCCATAGGAAGGGAGCTTCGAAAGAAGCGCTTTGTGCCAAACCCGATCGAAGGCCTTCGCAATGTCCAAACTAACGACCAATGCCTCCCCCTTGGACTCTATTGCCAACGCCCATCTGTGATTTAGGTAGACCAGAAGATCACCAGCTGACCGACCACGGCGAAAACCGTATTGACGGTCACTAATCAGCTGGTGATCCTCAAGGTCGCCTTTTTCAGGGATCGGGTGGACGAAAGCCGTATTCCATGATTTTGGGACTATGCCTAGGGAGTAGGAGTACCGGAAAAGACGCGTTAAAACCGGTGCCAACTCTGGAGCACACGTCCTCAGCACAATTGGGGGGATTCCGTCAGGCCCACTCGACTTGTGGATGTCCAAGGAGAGGAGTGCTTTGCGAACCGAGCGCTGTGTGAACTGTACTTCCGGCATGAAGCACTCACATCGCAGGATAGTTGGTGGCGTACTTCCCCCGTCATCAAGAGTCGAGTTGGACGCAAAGAAAGAGCCTAGAAGATCGGCTTTCTCCTTTGCGGTATGGGCCAGTGAGTCGTTCTCCCTATGCAGAGATGGAAGAGATGGCTGACAGAAATTCCCCTGGACAGCCTTGGCGAGAGATCAGAATGCACGGGTTCCAGAAGGAAGGCGAACTAGTTTCTCGCCAATTCTGCATATGTGCTCTGACTTTGCCTTGGCAATGACTCTTTTGAAGGACCCAGAGGCGTAATTATACTTCTTTTTTAGAGCGCTGGTGTTTACATCCCGGGACGCTGATGCGTCAGCCCAGGCTTGTTAGCACTCCTGATTATAGCATGATGCTATTTTACAGGAGCGACCAAACCATGGCTGAGATTTGCCTCCAATGGGCACCACAGAGGAAGGAATAAAAAGTTTCATACCCTGAAGTACCACATCAGTGACAGAATCCGCAACAACGTTGGGATCGTCCGGCGAGAAGCAAACCCGCCCCCAAGGATAGGATGCAAAGAAAGACCGCATCCCATCCCAATCGGCTGACTTATAGTGCCAAACACGGCGGCAGCCTGCAGAATGCAACTCCCATTTCAGCGTGAGTGGCACCACACTCCGAACAAGACAATGGTCCGAGGAGCCTAAAGGGGCGTCGGAAATCTGATATCCGTCCGGGTGAGAGGTCAGCAGAAGGTCCAACAGGGAAGGTGCATGATCCTCCACATGTGGAATCAGCGTAGGCGAAGTAACCAGTTGTGTCAGACCATATGCCAAGGCAAAATCATGAACAGATCTCCCCGCATGATCGGTTAAACGTGAACCAAGCCATTCGGCGTGATGGGCGTTAAAGTTATCATCTTACGAAACACTGCAGTATTATGATGCTATTTTACGCTGGTAATCTGTGAGAGTGTGGTCCTTCCCTAGATGAGCCAACTCATTCGTTAATTAGTGCTCATAATAGAACTGCAGTGTGGTTCTACCACGCTTGAAAACATAGAATACTATAATATACACATAATATAGTATTCTATGCTTGAAAATGATAAATATTAGAAACTAAGAAAATCCTCTACATAGCTGTTACCCAAGATCTTGTTTTAAAACAGTATAATTTGCGTATTTTTGTTTTGTCTCTGTACCTGTGCTTATTAAATAAAAATAAATAATAAGTAAGACCACGTGCTGTATAAACGTGCTCGAGAAAAATCTATCTACAAACATATTGCTGTAATAAAAAGCTTGGAATGTCAAACAGGCAAATAAAAGAACTTGAGAAGCCTGGAAAATTCACAAAACAATTCTTTATTAACTCAATTTCATCGACTATAAATGGTGCGACGCAATGAATCGCGTGGAATTCAGACTATTAGTAATCATTGCAAAGTGAGCTTTAGAATCAACATGGTACATACAGTTTAAATTTATTGTGGGGCACCATGTTGCCGCAAACGTCCGAAAAGTGTCGGTATGTCAAAGTCGTAAAAGTCAACACTTTGATAAAAGTATCCACATTTGTAATTTAAAAGAGAACGTTAGTAAAAATTAACTAATAATAAAATAAATCTGAATAAAGCTTCGGCGTCGTTTTTATTACTTATATAATTTTTAATTTAGAAAATAGTTAAAGGTTCATACTACTGTCAAATATTTTAATGCAATATAAATCATTTAAATGTAATTTTGATAAAAAAATATTTAAATAATTTCCTATACATAATATATTTTTCCCTAAATACTAATAAATAATACTAATAAGAACAGGCGCCTTAAATAAACACAAAAAGGAAAATGTATACTCACATACTGAAAGCAATTTTATTTCGTATTTAGAACATCATATTTTTTTTAATTCGCTAAAGATATTGGCACTTAGATTCAACTTAATTAAAATTATTTTAAAATACGTATGATGTACATTGTCACTGTGGGTAAATGAATTAATAATTTATTGTCCAGAAAGCGCTACGCTAGGATGTCTACTGTTCACCGAACACAAACTAACTACATGCCACTTGTTTGTTTCGAGGGAAATCCTCGCCAAAACTAAAGAATTTAATTCAGAATTTTGTCAAAACTTTAGTATTCAACGCTTTCTATCTTTTATTATATCATGAATTATTTATTAGGCGTTATATATTTAAAATCAATGACACGCATTTTTGCTTATATTTGTTGCGTTCGTAAATCATTAATATTGCATCTAGTTATCGGTTGACGGAATTATACAATAGATTTGAATTGGGATTTATTAAAGGAGAATATTAATAAATTTACTACTATTTGTGCGGTAAAACAATGGGACGAAAATGGTGTCGCCTCTATTTACCTCTCGCTCACACACTGTCGCTATCCAACTCACATCCACCGGTAGAGACTACAAAAAATATGTTGTGATATGCGTTTTACGTGCTATACCTTCAATCCGACTTGTCATTGGAATAAATAATAACAAAATGCCATAAACTTAAAAAAATATCCCGGTTTTGCAAATTTATGAGCTAGACACGGTCTGAGAGTTTTTATACAATTATTGTTGATTTTGTTTATACTTTTGTTAAGTCGCTGTTATTGGTATTGATTATTATTTATTGTAAAGCGTTGTTAGTTATTTCGTTTTTGTTGACTTTTACGTTATCTGGTAAACGCGGGAAAGTACCACATTGTATTGTATATAACGTAATAAAGTATTTTGAGGAAGAGAAAAATCTGGAACGTTATCACCTATTACAATATTGTAATGCAAGGGCGGTGGTGGCAACAGGATTGTCACTCGAATTAAAAAGATGTTTATCAAGTAGCTGTCCGTTTGTTTATTATTAATGATTTGAAAAGACTCATCATTATCATTACAGCCCTTCACAAGTCCACTGCTGAACATAGGCCTCCCCCAAGTAATGCCACAAAGCACGGTCCTGAGCCACCTGCATCCATCGACTTCCTGCATGTCTTACCAGGTCGTCACTCCATCTAGTGG